GTCCCGGCCTTCGTGCTGGCCACAGGTAACCGGCGGGACCGCCCACCCTCGGGCTGCAACCCGAGACGCTACTAACTACACCTGTTCTCTGGGCTGGAACCCACACCGCGCAACTAACCCACCCACAGCCTTTGCAAATAATGAAAAGGCAATTCTAAGTCACTGCAAATAGCCTTCGGATTTGGCGGAGCATGCAATTCAATGATCGATCCCCCAGGTCCGTGGGCCTGTGGTCTTGAGAGCCTTGAGACACCCTAACCTTAAACTTAACCCTAACCCTAACCCAAACCCTTTGCAAATAATAAAAAGGTAATTCTAAGTCACTTGCCATAGCCTTCGGATTTGTGCGAAGCATGCAATTCAGTGATTGATCCCCCAGGGCCATGGGCCTGTGGTCTTGAGAGCCTTGAGACACCCGAAAATCCTAACCCTAAAACCCTAACCCTAACCCTAACCCAATTCCGTGCTTCCCTCAGCGCCTCGCTCCCCACTCGGCAGGCATTCCTAGATTTCACAATTGGCTAAAGCCAGGTCGGCCAGAGTCAAAGGGCAAAGAACAGCCGGTGGGCCTGGTTCCAGGCTGGCTCAGAATACCCTCGCCAGACACACCATCCCCTCTGACAGGTTACTAAACACAGGTTACTGGGACTGATCTGTAAAAAGTGCTTCTCCACTTCTTGGGGAGGAAATTAAATGAGAATGAACTAGGCAACTTACAAATCGTGAAAGTACTGATGTCGCTAAAACGCTTGCTCTTATTTTTTAAAAACAGGAACAGACTTTGCCTGGGTTCAAAGCCTGACAACCCTATAAGGCTGTGCAGCTTGAGTCAAATTACTTAACCTCTCTGAGTCTATACTTCATGTGTTATCGAATTGAGTTTTGTGAGGATTAAATGAGAGAGTGTAAGGCACTACTTAGAATTTAAAAATAGATATATTCCAAGACAGAGACTACTGAATATATAAGGTTACTAGTTAGTCCTCTAGGTGTGCTGAGCCTTCAGAAGGTTTTGGTGGTTCCCTAGTACAGAGCCTGTGTGTCATGTAATAAATGCCTAATAACTATCATCCTTACATAGAGGGGAAACCCCTCCAAAGGGCTGCATTCTGTCAGTGAGGATGCTTGAGTAGTCATGGCTGGAAGTGAGCTGGGAGCTAAGTTAGTCCAGCCAGGAACTGGGTTATCACCTCTTTTTTTCAAAGCCTTCAAGCCATGCATATCATTCTGTGAGTTCGATCTTAATCCTCCTCTAGGATTTGGGTTCCAGGTTAGCCTGATTCTGAATGATGCCGTGATAGTCCAGCTCATTCTTAGAGCAAATAGAGGCCACTTTCCCCTTTGGGAGAGAATGGTGTCACATCTGTATTGGGAAGGCACTGGAGGGAGACAGGAGTCTGTGTTTAGATTTCACCTCAAAAACCTCAACAGTTTAACTTGGCACCTAAGCCACCCCAGCAGCAGGTGGGAAGCCCTCTGGATTTTGTGGGAAATGACAGCAGGCAGCAGGATCACCACCACCTCAATTTGGGAAGTGATGGCAGGGGCAGCCAACCCCATCAGCTCGTAGTTCCGAGAACATCACTGCATTAAGAAAATGAAATCTTGCCCGGCTGGTGTGGCTCAGAGGTTGAGCGTCAACCTATGAACCAGAGAATGTCATGGTTCGATTCCCGGTCAGGGCATATGCCCGTGTTGTGGGCTTGATCCCCAGTGTGGGGTGTGCAGGGAAGGGGCGGGGGGCAGGAGGGAGCATGTGGGAGGCAGCTGATCAATGATTCTCTCTCATTACTGATGTTTCTATCTCTCTCCCTCTTCCTTCCTCTCTGAAATCAATAAAAATATATTTTAAAAGAAAATGAAATCCTAAATTCTCTACTTAGAAAAATACAAAAAAGGTGGACTGACTGTTCAATCAAGATCACTACTCTGTCCTTCCTCATCTAGGCGACCCTGTGAAAGGGTTTCTGTTCCTCAATGTCATGTCTGTAAAATGAAGATGACAACAGTGCCCGTCTCAGAAAATTGCTGAGTCCACCTCCACTCCACCTGCCAAAATGAAAACTCCAGAATTTTGTTCACTGTATTCAAGTGCTAGAACAGTAGGTAGTTAACACTTGTTAAATGAATAACTAAAATGAAATTTGGAGGAGAATATGCTGATTGGCAAATGTAAACAACTGGTTCTCTTAAGAGTTCTATTCCTATTGGAAATTAAACTTCTGGCTTTAATATCAACATTTATTACATCACTAATCCGTGCCAACCACTCCACACACATAATCACATGGGATTCTCAAAGGAAACCTTTGTTGGGGGGAATAGCAGTGCCATTTTACACATGAGGACACCAAAGCCGCACTTAGCTTAGCTTTCTAGCAGTCCCTTATTTCCATCGAATTCCTCATTCTCCTCTTATTAAATGTGCTTTTCATGTTGCATCAGCATCCAGATAAAGACCTTTTTATTCAGGTTTGCTGTTAAGTTCCACAGGCATGTTTTACTCTTTTGATGATAAATTTGCTGTGTTTTGACACATCACATGTAAAAAGGGCTCTGTGGCCTAGTCTGTAACTGATCGCATACTGGTACCTTTGTAGGACTGTGCAAACTCAGGAATACAAGAAATATTTTATTTTTCACAACTTAATTTGAGACTCCACTCTGCCTTATTGGTTGACGTAGTTTCATCCCTCCACTTGCTGCCCCTTTCCTGATATATATGTGAGCAAAGGTTTCTGAAAATAGCCAAGGCCTTGGAGAGGAGGGCCTTTCGGTCCTCGGCTTGCACAGGTTACCAGGGAAGCGTCATCCGCCACCTCCCTGTGGCCCCTGCCCCCGCCCCTCCTCCTGCTGCCTCTGTCACAGCAGCAGCCTCTCCGTGGTGTGTGGGGAAGTTAACACAGGCCGGCCCTCTGCACTCAGGACCTCCAGCCTCTTTTCTCAGTCCAGAGGAAGTTTCCCTATTGACCAAGAGAAATGTTTCTCCCCTTAGAGAGCAGGAAGCAGCTGGGGCGGATAATGTAGAAAAAAGAGAACGCCCTGGAGCTGGAGAGGGTCCAAAGGGGAAAAGGGGGACATATATAATACCTTCAACAATAAAGATTTTAAAAAGAGAACTCATGGACATGGACAGCAGTGTGGTGGTTGTGGGGGGGAGGGGGAGGTGGAAGAGGGCACAGAGGGGATAAATGGTGACGAAAAAAATACATATATAGGACACTCCTTGGCCAACAGATCTCTTTCCCCTGCGATCGTTTTCCACAAAACCTGCTTCTCCCCTGCCATGTGCCTCCCCCAGAGGCCGTGATCACCAAGCCCACTGGAATTGGGGAGGAGAAAGAGAGGAAAATTCAAGAAGGGGGTAAACAGTTTTAATATCCCGAAATATCAGCCAGCCCCATTCCTTTGGAAATGTAAATTCAGTATTTCAAACAACTGACCTTCAGGTGAAACTTTGGTTATGTCGGCACTTAAAATACCTATAAAAACCCTGATGCAAAATAATACCATACATGTCAGTGGTTGCACAGTGGCTTGTTCTGAGTATTTGCCTGCAGTATTTGCCTGAGATGAAATATATAAGTGAGTAAGTGTTTGTATGTAACGTATAGGAAAAGTCTCTTTTTTTCCCCATTTTGTTTGACATTAGATTTGAAGAAAACCAATTTGTGAATAGGGCTCCAAATCCTCACTATTTAAAACCACTCCTAGTAGTATGAGAGGGGACCTACATTTTCCTTCGTAGTTTCCACACGTTGAGGCCCCAGGGTTTTCCTCTCTCTGTCTCTATGATGTTTCCTAGAAAAAAAGATACTCAGAATAGTTAACAAATATGCATGTATAATTTAAGGAAAACATGCATTCAAGTGCACTTGTACAACTTATGCAAACATCAAATTAAAAATAGAAAGATGTACTTGGCTAAAGCTCTATTATTATTTACTTGATGCTTACTCATTTTGAAGATGCATTTTTGTTTCATTCCTTTTTATGATAGGAAGAACCCTCTACCTCCTCTACACTCCCCCCCCCCGCAACATAAACATATGAAAAATTGTATGATTTATATTGCTAAACTACTAAAACACACTATTCAAACGCATCTTTTTTAGATCTCCTGGTGGATGTTCCTGGTCATGGGAAGGTGGTAGTGGACATTGCATATGGTGGCGCATTTTATGCATTTGTTAGTGCTGAAAAGTTAGGACTTGATGTTTGTTCTGCAAAGACAAGGTACCTTGTGGATGCAGCAAGTACAGTGACAGAAGCAGTGAAAGCTCAGGTCAGTACTGTTGCTGCCATCAACACTGCTGCTTTTCATGATACCAGCTGACTTCATTCTTTTTAAAAATATATATTTTTCTTGATTTCAGGGAGGAAGGGAGAGGGAGAGAGAGATATTAGTAAATATCAATGATGAGAATCATTGATCAGGTGCCTCCTCATCAGTGATGAGAATCATCGATCAGGTGCCTCCTGCACGTCCCCCACTGGGGATCCAGCCTGCAACTTGTGCCCTGACCAGAAATCCAACCGGAGACCTCTTGGTTCCTAGGTCGATGCTCAACTGCTGAGCCACACCCACCTGGGCTGACTTCATTCTTTACAATAAATCATTCTTTTTCCATCCAATTGTTTCTCTTACCTAATAGCATCTGCATCCCGGTAACTTTTGCTTGCTCTTGGCCTCTCACAGTCTTTGTCTCTATCACTAGTATTCACTTCAGCTCTAGATACTCATTGCCTGGTTTCTCCACATGATCCCCTTCAAGCTCCTGAGAGTGAGGATATGGTTGCCTTAGCTCCTCCTGTTTGGGCAGCCATGGCCAGCCTGTGGATTGACCATCCTGGGCTCAGCACCTCAAAGAGTGTGTGTGTTTAGTTAGTGGGGGTGTGTATAAAATAGGACTGTTCCATTAGTAGAGGCTATGTGCAGGGCAACTTCCTTAGGAAGGACTCACACTTCCACCTGGCCAGTGTGACTCAGTGGTTGAGCATCCACCCATGAACCAGGAGGTCACAGTTTGATTTCCAGTCAGGGCACATGCCCAGATTGTGGGTTTGATCCCCAGTAGGGGGCGTGCAGGAGGCAGCCGGTCAATTATTCTCTCTCATCACTGCTTCTATCTCTCTCTCCCTCTCCCTTCCTCTCTTTGAAATCAAAAAAAAAAAAAAATAACAAATACTTCCAATAAAACTATGTTTATTCATCTAGACAAAGATGTCATTCTAGCATTTAGTGCCTTGACCCAAAAGGTGTTTTAAAAATGATAAGGGTGGAAAAATTATGTCTAAGGGAGCCCCATCTATGTTATTTAAAATATAAACGTGAATCAAAGTATTTATTTTACATGTGGTTGATAATTTTTTGTTATTTGCAGTTTAAAATTACTCATCCTGATAGTGAAGACCTTGGATCTAGACAAAGATGTCCTTCTAGCATTTAGTGCCTTGACCCAACAGGTGTTTTAAAAATGATAAAGGTGGAAAAATTATGTCTAAGAGAGCCCCATATATGTTATTTAAAATATAAACTTGAATCAAAGTATTTATTTTACATGTGGTTGATAATTTTTTGTTATTTGCAGTTTAAAATTACTCATCCTGATAGTGAAGACCTTGCCTTTCTATATGGAACTATATTAACAGATGGAAAAGACACTTACAGTGAGGAGCCAACCACCAACATCTGTGTGTTTGCAGATGAGCAGGTATTAAAACTGTGATTTTTAGGCACAAAAGTCATGCGATGTGGAAGTAGAGCACTATGAACTTTCTTATCTTTGTTTATTCTGAAACAGGTTGACCGAAGTCCTACGGGCTCAGGAGTGACAGCCCGAATTGCCTTACAGTATCACAAAGGGCTTCTGGAACTGAACCAGACCAGAGCCTTTAAAAGCAGTGCCACTGGCTCAGTCTTCACCGGGAAGGCTGTGAGGGTGAGTGACACCCTTACCTTCTTCTGTAAATGTGTTACTTTGGAGACTGAAGAGGCGTGAGTCGGGTGTGTGATGAGTTTCTTCACACAGCTCTCAGAAGACAATTTTCAAACAGACCTGTAAAAACTTCAGCTAGGATACTGGTCCTCAAAGTGAGGTGTGAAAACCCCTGGGGGTTCCCAGGGTCCTTTCCATGGGTCCACAAGGCCAAAACAATGTTCGTAATAATACTAAGACATTGTTTGCTTTTCACTTTCATTCTCTCATCAGTGTACAGTTCTCCAGAGGCAGAATAATGCGCTATCCCAGCTGACTGAATGTAGGAGCAGATATGAGGATCTAGCTGTCTTCTTTACAGCCAGACATTGGATGTTTCCAAAAATGTAAAACAATGCCATTTTTCTCATTGGTTTTTTTGTTTGTTTTGGCAAATGTTATTTTCACAAAAATTTGTGGTTTATTAATAAACTCATAACATGCAGTGAGTTTATTTTTTAAACGAATTAATGAAAAAATATCTTTAATTTTTTAAAAAGCAAATATTAATATATATATCCTACGTGAACAAAAACTATTTTGAGTTCCTCAAACCTGAAGGTGTAAAGGGGTCCTGGCACCAAAATGTCTGAGAGCCATTAAACTAGGGTTTGGATGTTTTGTTTGCTTGTTTTTATTCTATAGGAGTGTTTCATTTTATAATAGGATGTGAAAGTCCTGAAAAGTTGTGGGCAGAATTTTTATAATGGAATCAAATATTAAATGTGCTACTAGAGCTAATTAATGAATTTACTCATTAATAAATGAAATCTACAGGATAACTTGTTTACATCTAGTAAGTGAATCTACTCATAAAGAGTCCTTTAACATAGCAATCTATCCTAATACTTTTATATCCTAAAATAGCTTTTTTAAAAAATCGTCACCCGAGGATATGTTTATTGATTTGAGAGAGAGAGAGAGAGAGAAAGAGAGAGAAGAGAAGAGAAAGAGAAAGAGATGAGGGAGAAACAGTGATTGGTTGCCTCCTGTAGGTCCCCCAAGCGAGGAATCAACTGGCAACCTAGGTATGTGCCCTGACCGGGAATTGAACCTGCACTCTTTGGTGCACTAGATGATGCTCAACCAACTGAGCCACATGGCCAGGGAAATACAGATGTTTTTAAAGTTTGATTTTTCTAAATATTGAATTTTCATTAAGTTAGGCATTCCTATACATTACCTGATCTTATGAGGTACCAAGCCATTACGTTGTATGCAAAAATTTGGGATACATTGTCTTCAAGTCTCAGAATGAAGATAAAGTAATAATCTATAATATTTATTGGGTGTTTCACATGTCAGTTTCCAAGCTAAACACATTATGCATACCATATCATTTAATTCTCACAAGAATTCGGGGAGGTCAATACTATTCTTCTTCTTTAACAAATGATAAATTGGAGAGTTTTGCCAAAAGTCAAAGAGTAATGGATCCAGACTATGAACATGGATCTCTCTAAGCAGACCCCACACTGTTAAGCATTATATTATACTAGAGGCCCGGTGCACAAAAATTTGTGCACTCGCAGGGGGAGAGGGAGGTCCCTCAGCCCGGCCTGTGCCCTCTCACAGTCTGGGACCCCTCAGGGGATGACCACCTGCTGGCTTAGGCCCGCTCCTCGGAGGATTGGGCCTAAGATGGCAATCAGACATCCCTCTGGCAGCCCGGGAGTCCTCGGGGGATGTCCACTTGCCAGCGGGGAGCAGGCCTAAACTGCAGTCGGACATCCTTAGCACTGCTGGGGAGGCAGGAGAGGCTCCCACCACCACCGCTCTACTGGCAGCCATCAGCCTGGCTTGTGGCTGAGCAGAGCTCCTCCCATGTGAGAGCGCCCTGACCACCAGAGGGCAGCTCCTGCATTGAGCATCTGCCCCCTGGTGGTCAGTGTGTGTCATAGTGACCAGTCATTCCCAGTCCTTCTGCTGTTAGGGTCAGTTTGCATATTACCCTTTTACTATATAGGATAGAGGCCTGGTGCACGGTTGCAGGCTGGCCACAGCCCCCAGCCACCCAAGCTCCCAGTGAAGGCTGGCTGGAAGCAGGTATCTAGGATTTATTTTTCTTCTATAATTGAAACTTTGTTGCCTTGAGTGGAGGCCACAGCTGGCCAGGGCAGGCAGGAAGCTTGGCTTCCTCCATGGCTGGGGCAACCAAGCCTCCTGCTTGCTCCTGCTCCGTGGCTGCGGGCCGCCATCTTGGTTGGGTTAATTTGCATATAGTCGCCTCCATTGGCTGGTGGGCGTGGCTTGGGGCGTAGCGGGGGTGCAGTCAATTTTCATGTTTCTCTTTTATTAGATTAGACACGAGACCTGGTGCATGAAATTCATGCACAGGGCGGGTGTCCCTCAGCGTGGTCTGTACCCTCTCTAATCTGGGACCCCTTGGGGGATATCTGACTGCTGATTTAGGCCCCATCCCTGCAGGATCCAACTGCCGTCCCCTGCTTGCTTGCCTCCAACTGCTGTCCCCTGCCAGCCTGCTTGTCCCCAACTGCCCTCCCCTGCTGGCCTGATCGCTCCCAACTGCCCTCCTCCGCTGGCCTGTTTGCCCCTAACAGCCTCTGCCTCAGCCCCGCCACCATGGCTTTGTCCGGAAGGACGTCTGGAAGGTCTCCCGGAAGGTTCTCCTGGTCTAATTAGCATATTACCCTTTTATTAGTATAGATTAGACAAGGCAAGTTTTCAGTGAGGCTTTATATTATAGCAGCTTTACAAAAAGACTAGTAGCCCTGCGCACAAATCCGTGCGTGAGTAGCTCGCTGCTGCTTGCCTCAGCTGGCCACCCCGCCCACCACCACTGGTAGCTCTCCACCGCTCATAGCTTGCTGCTCTGCCCTCCTGTAGCTCTCCACTGCTTGTAGATCGGTCATGACGTTACAGCGTCCTAATTTGCATATTCCTCTATTATTATATTAGATAATAAAATTACTGTACCCTAAGCTCATAATTGATATTTACCTTAAGCTTCAGTTATCCTGTTTGTTTTTTTAAAATTAGAAAATGAAAAGATACTCTGTAGTGAAGATTTGAAGTTATTTAATCCCAATTATCATACTTGCCAGAACATCTTCCTTTGCACCACTGACCTTTCATCTCTGGGCTCTTCCAGGCTCTCTGATAGTATCTCCATCTCTTTCCCTGCCCAGCTTCCTTTCCCCATCCTTCCGTTCAGAAGCCCCCAGCATTTTATCCTTAGCTTCCTTCTCATCAGCAATTTGATGCCACTGGGACATTTCACCCACTTCTGAAGTTTCAACTCTCAGCCACCCACTGATGACTTCCAAACCTTCCTCCCTCCCATGCCTACCCTGGGCTTCTCTCCTGAGTCTAACAGGTATGTTCCCAACTGTCCAGTAAACTCATCTCAAAATGACTGTCCCAGAGATATCGCAAACTCAACTTGTTAAAAACATCTTTCTTCCTAAAGGTGCCTCTCCTGCCACATTCCCCATCACTTTCAAGCTAAAAGCTGTAGTCACATTTATTTCTATTCCTTACTTCCCACATATCAGTCCCCAGGCCTGTCAGTTCTTCCTCCAAAGTATCTCTGTATTTTGCTCTTCTCCAGCCTCACTAAAAATTACCCCAGTGACTGTAGAGTCCATCAATGAATTAAGCTTCCCTTTCCACAGGGTTCTGGGTGTCTAGTTTCTCTCCTCTCCAGTTGTCTCCCACTGTACAGCTTAATTCATGTAAAACACAGACCTGATCAGGTCGCTCTCCTTTCATTGGATTAACTCTTGGGTTTTCTTTAAAGTGATAGAAATTAACAATATGACTTAAACCGGATACAATGTGAATGCGGTATTTTGATATTGTACTCCTTTCACCTTTTTTCAGGAAGCAAAGTGTGGGGATTTTAATGCGGTTATAGTGGAAGTATCCGGACAAGCCCATTACACGGGAACAGCAAGCTTTACAATAGAAGACGACGACCCACTGAGGGATGGGTTTCTTCTCAAGTGACTTCTATGACTTTTAAAGGCTTTCTTTTTAAAGCAATCGTTATCTATCAGTAATTTTCATCTGAATTATGTGGAAACCTATATCCAAATTGTACATGTAAGCCAATTCCCATTTTTCTAAAATAGTACACTATGGCTAAATATAAAATCATTATACCTCAGAGATGCATAGATATATAGGTATAGCTCCTGAAATACAGGTACATAGTAGAAAACAATCAGTGAATCACTACAGTGGGACAAGTCTCATACTCTACCAGCTACATGCCAGGTAGATTTATAACATGATGTCCTGGCTAGTGTGGCTCAGTTGGATGAGCTTCGTTCCATGCACCAAAAGGTCGCTGGTTCGATTCCAGGTCATCTCATACTCTACCAGCTACATGCCAGGTAGATTTATAACATGATGTCCTGGCTAGTGTGGCTCAGTTAGATGAGCTTCGTTCCATGCACCAAACGGTCGCTAGTTCGATTCCAGGTCAGGGCACAGACAGGGTAGTGGGCTTGATCCCTAGTATGGGGTGTGCAGGAGGCAGCCGAGATGTTTCTCTCTAACATTGATGTTTCTCTCTCTCCTTTCCCTTGTTATCTCTCTAAAATCAATAAAAACATGTTAAAAAAATAAAATATGAAAGAAATGGTAACTCTTGGTATTCTTGCCTGTGAGCCTGTTAAAAATACATTTGATCATTACCAGTCATTATAAAATGAAGAATTAAAATTATTCAACGTGTAATGCTCTCAATATTCCTTAAACTCTGCTGTGATTAGTAGTATTTCTTTTTTCTGAGCCGACAGAAACTGAAGTAATTCATTTAAACTGGCTTTGCCATCCACCAAGTCTGTGTAGACCCAGTCATTAGGTCTATGATTTAATCACCTGACTAAAATCAATTACACAACAAAATAATGTTTTCCACTCATTCCTATTACATTCTTTGGTAAAGAAATCGTGTCTAAAAAATAACACTATCACTAACTTTTCCCCACTTTATTAATGCTCCTTTTTCTCTGGGAAACTATCCATCCCCTGAACATAGCCTCCTGGGACCACCAGGCAGGGGAAGGGGTACACCGATCAGGCTCTTGCTCCCAGGACCTGGGATTTGTTGTTGTTGTTGTTAATCCTCACCCAAGGATATTTCTCCATTGATTTTTAGGGAGATTGGAAGAGAGAGGGAAAGACAGAGAGAAACATCGATGTGAGAGAAACAGATCGATTGTTTGCCTCCTGCACAAGCCCAAACTAGGGCCCAGGCTGGGGAGGAGCCTGCAACCAAGGTACACACACCCTTGACTAGAATCAAACCAGGGACCCTTTGGTCCGCAGGCTGACGCTCTATCCACTGAGCCAAACCAGCTAGAGCAGGATCTGGGATCTTGAGAGAAATGACATTCAGTTTATGAATGGTTGAAGCAGACTTATTCCGATAGTGCCTTAAAGAGATCACCCTCAATTAGTGTCTGCTATCTCTACCCACAGAGCTGCCCTGACTTCTCTTGTTCTTGGGGCTGGCTGTTAGACTATCCTTCTATAATCTGTAAATTCCTTTCTTGTTTAAGGGAGACAGTGCCCTATAAGTATTGCTTATCTCCAAAGACCCTAATCCATACACTAGCTCCTTAAAAATCTCTTCTGCTCTTTGCTGTAAATGCCTGACTTCAGACTCCTTCATTTCTTCCCTGGCCATTACAAGGCCTTTTCCTAACTGGTGTCCCAGCTGCTAACTTCTCCTCTGATAGTTACTCAAAAAATATTTCTTTTGTGTGTTTTCCTAACAGTTTTCCAGAGTGCTAAGTGCTAGGAATCTAATAAAAAGCCAAACAGGTCAAGTCCTAGTCTTAACAGAGTCTACAAGTTGACCATGGGAGGCAAGTAATAGTCATGAAAACATAATTACAGACAGTGTGGTATGTCCTACAAGCCCAGGGGGCTTACCCTGAGGGACTAACATTCATGCAGAGATGGGGGTGCTATGGGATTGGGGGAAGGAGTGGTGGTGGAGCTTTCTCTGCAGAAGACCTAGCAGGTACAAATGCCCTAAGGAACTCACAATAGGCCAGTGTGGTTAGAGTGGAGCAAAAAAGAAGGAAAGTGGCCCAAAATGAGACTAGAGAGGAAACAGATGTGAAATCATGCAGTGCTTTGCAGTAAACAGTAAGAATTGGGATCCTTACCCTAAATTAAATGGAGAAAGCCAAGAGAATGTTTAAATAAGTGGCATGATCAAATTATTTTGTTTAAAAAAAGCATTCTGCCTACAATGTGGAGTAGGGGCTGGATGGGGGGAGACCCAGCTAGGAGGTGTCAGCAATAGTCCAAAGAGAGGATGAGAGCTAAGATTCAGGTGGACGATGGAGTGATGGAGGAAATGAATGGATACAAAGATATTTAACAAGTAAAATTCCCAGGTTTTGGTGATGAGGAAGAGAAAATTTATCTTGAAAGAACCCTAAGTTTTTAGTTTTTGCCTAGAAAACTAGGTGGAAGGTGGTGCCCTTTTTTTTTTTTTAGATTCAAAATATTGAGGACTAAGGTTTTTAGGAAAGATCACGAATTCCATTTTGGTCACCTTACATTTGAGGTGCTTTTGCACATCAAGGGTCATTGCCAAGTAGCAAGATACATGGTTTGGAGCTAGGGACATAATTTAGAGTTGTGAGTATATAGTTTTCAAAGCTGTGGCTGTGAGTGAGATGGGGGAGGAAGTCCCAAGCTGCCCAGGACAGGGCACTGGATTCTAGCATTTAAAGGTAGGTGAGGGAGGATGAACTAGCTGAGGACACTGAGGCGAACGAGGAAGACGGGAAACCAGGAGAGTGTGAGGTCACTCATCTTTCTGAACCATGCCTGATCATGGCCCTCCCTGGTTTAAACTCCTTCAATGGCTACACTTGAAACTAAAGAGAAAATGAACAAATGGGACTACATCAAAATAAAAAGCTTCTGCACAGCAAAAGAAACCATCAACAAAACAACAAGAAAACCCACTGCGTGGGAAAACATATTTGCCAACGTCATATCTGATAAGGGCCTAATCTCCAAAATTTATAGGGAACTCATACAACTTAACAAAAAGAAGATAAACAATCCAATCAAAAAATGGGCAAAGGACCTAAATAGACACCTTTCAAAAGAGGACATTCAGAAAGCCAAGAGACATATGAAAACATGCTCAAAGTCACTAATCATCCGAGAGATGCAAATCAAAACAACAATGAGGTACCATCTCACACCTGTCAGAATGGCTATCATCAACAAATCAACAAACGACAAGTGCTGGAGAGGATGTGGAGAAAAAGGAACACTCGTGCACTGCTGGTGGGAATGCAGACTGGTGCAGCCACTATGGAAGACAGTATGGAGTTTCCTCAAAAAACAAAACATGGAACTCCCATTTGACCCTGTGATCCCACTTCTAGGAATATATCCCAAGAAACCAGAAACACCAATCAGAAAGGATATATGCACCCATATGTTCATAGCAGCACAATTCACCATAGCTAAGATCTGGAAACAGCCTAAGTGCCCATCAGTAGATGAATGGATTAGAAAACTGTGGTACATCTACACGATGGAATACTATGCTGCTGTAAAAAAGAAGGAACTCTTACCATTTGCAACAGCATGGATGGAACTGGAGAGCATTATGCTAAGTGAAATAAGCCAGTCAATGAAGGAAAAATACCACATGATCTCACACATTCATGGATAATAGAGACCATTATAAACTTTTGAACAATAATAGATACAGAGGCAGAGCTGCCTCAAACTGATTGTCAAACTGCAGTGGGAAGGCCAGAGAGGGTTGGGGGGCAGAAGGGAGGGGAGTAAGAGATCAACCGAAGGACTTGTATGCATGCATATAAGCATAACCAATGGACATAAGACACGGGGGGGGGGGGGGGGCCAGGGGATTGTCAAGGGCGGGGAAAAAAAAAAGAAAAATAAAATAAAATAAAAAATAAATAAAATAAACTCCTTCAATGGCTAGTGCCATTACCCTGTCTTCTCCCAATTAAGTTCCATCTCTGTAACACTGCACGCAAGGCCTTTGTAAGAGGGCCCCAATCAGTTTTCATTGTTTTTCCCCCTCTTCACTCCCTACCCCACATAGCCTAAGAAACAGATATTTCTCGCCAGTACCCAAGAGTAAAGTATTTAGATATTAACCTTCAGATTTCACACATGCATCAAATGTCCTTACTTTTCTTTCTTCTTCTTCTTCTTTTTTTTTGAGAGTCCAATGTCACCTCTTGCACAGTCTTCATTCTCTATCACCTTCCCTAGGACGAGTTAGTCACCTCCATAGAATTTCATTGGTATGTTTTTAACAACACTTTCCACATTGCAATATATTTGTGTGTACCTAAGGCTGTAAGATTCTTCCAGCTGGAATCCTTATCTTACTCATTGTTTCTGAAAAAAGCACAGAGATTTTATAAATTAATCTATTATATTTTTGTCTTAGTTCAGTGGTTCTCAGCTGGGTTGATTTCCCTCCCACTCCCAATTCCTGGGGACATTTGCCAATATCTGGAGACATAACTTTTAGTTGTCACTACAGGGATATCATGGATAGAGGCTAGAGATAATGCTACACATCTGTAATGCATAGGGTAGCCCTCACAACTAAGAATTATTTGTCTCAAAAAGTCAATAATGCTGAGGCCGAGAAACACAGTCTTAGTTACCACCTTAAATGAACTATTTATGCTGTTAACTTCCAGTAGGATATTTTCCATCACTGAAATAAGCAACCAAGGCACTCCTATCATTGATTCTAAGACCTGCACATGTACCAATCATTTTTTAGAGCAGTGTTTCTCAAAACTTGATTGTGTATCAGAATCACTTGCAAGTCATGTGGCTGGGCCCCACCTTAGAATTTCAGATTCAGGTTGGGAGCCGGGCCTGAGAATCTGCATTTCTGACATGTTCTCAGGTCAGACTGATGCTGCTGGTCCAGGGTCCACACTTTACAAACCACAGCCTTAGAGAACCTGAGGGCTGATCTCACTTCCCCCCATTAGCAGCCATGCCCAGAAACTTGAGATGCACCTTCCCTGGGCCTACAGGCCCTGTTCCTGTCTCTCCCAACCAGATACCCAGAGCTGCATCTGTGGTGACTGCCTAGTTGGCAGCACCTTACACTCAAAACACATCACATTCCAGAGAACTGAGGAAGGCCAGGCCACAGAGAAGGAACACTCTCCCTTTCCCCACAACACGTGCGAGAGCCAATTATGCATGATTCTGGGTTCCAGGCTCTTCAAAGCAAGGTGATATCCTGCCACTACTAAAATCCATATCCTAGCTCCTCAGAGCACCTGTATCAGAGCCACCTGTGGGGTTTAGATTCTTAGGCCTGTCCTCAGTAATCCTGGGAGTCAACCAGTGAATCTGCATTTAATAAGCACAGTACATCAGTGGTTCCCAAAGTGTGGCCACCAGACCAGTAACATCCCCACCTGGGAACTTGTTAAGAGATGCAAAATTCTAGGACAGGACCCCAGACCCACTGAATCTGAAACCTGGGGTTGGGCCGACTCACTTAGTTTCAGCAAGAAGTCCAGGTGATTCTGTTAGATGCTCAAGGTTGAGAACACCTGGATTAACCTATCCTGCTGTTGTATCGTAAATCAGTGAGATAGATATGAGATGCCTTAATGAGCCAATTAATTAGGAGTCTTTTTCGCGTGGCTCAGAGGGAGGTGTTTCCCAAATCTCTGAGCAAACAAATAGAGGAAGTTCTCTCTATTTATACCTTTTTGGGCCCTTTGCAGATTTTACAAAGAGCTCTGTGGAGGTTATTGTTACAGATAGTTTATAACCTTGAATACATAATGAACCAATACTTGGCAGAAGAATATGGGAATTATTATCAGTATCAGTATTAGCCTGTTACATCAGATGGCTAGCTTGCAAGGTCAGTTAAGTTTTTATCTTTTTCTATTATTCAAACTAAAACAGTTATTTTACAGAATAAGGGACTATCTAAAAATAACAGAGTTGACCTACAGAATAAGAGACTGTCTAGGAATAACTGAGTAGTCCAAACAAGAGTTTCAAACAGCAGTTTTCCAAAGGAGGAATTACTATGCTTCACTGCCCCCTCGTTTAAAATCTCCACATTTGGACAGCTTTCACTTCAGGTTCTTGATTCCTTCCCTACCTGCGTATGCCGGAAACACCCACAGGGAGGCAAAGCATCCCGGGCGAGGGAAGGCCTTCCCAGGACCTCGTATCCAAGAAAAGAACTGGAGAATGAACCCTTGTTGAATTTGGTCATTTATGAGGGCCACTCCCGCTTTATTTGGCCAGAAAGCGGTCCCTGCGGAGGTCCTTTTGGCACTCGGAAGCCGGACCCCAGGCCGAGGCACCTGGCGGGGGGGGGGAGTGAAGTGGTGCGCGGCTTTTCGGAAGCACTTGGCCGGTGTCCCGCCCCGCGCTCCTGCGTAAACAGGCGGTTCCCTAGGCAACGCCTGGAACTCACGTCAAAGGCTCCGCAGGGGCCGCGGCGACCACCACCCCTCCGGCCAAGCCCCACTCCCGGCAGCTTGTAACCTTGAATACATAATGAACCAATACTTGGCAGAAGAATATGGGAATTATTATCAGTATCAGTATTAGCCTGTTACATCAGATGGCTAGCTTGCAAGGTCAGTTAAGTTTTTATCTTTTTCTATTATTCAAACGAAAACAGTTCTTTTACAGAATAAGGGACTATCTAAAAACAACAGAGTTGACCTACAGAATAAGAGACTGTCTAGGAATAACTGAGTAGTCCAGACAGCAGTTTTCCAAAGGAGGAATTACTATGCTTCACTGCCCCCTCGTTTAAAATCTCCACATTTGGACAGCTTTCACTTCAGGTTCTTGATTCCTTCCCTACCTGCGTATGCCGGAAACACCCACAGGGAGGCAAAGCATCCCCGGCGAGCGAAGGCCTTCCCAGGACCTCGTATCCAAGAAAAGAACTGGAGAATGAACCCTTGTTGAATTTGGTCATTTATGAGGGCCACTCCCGCTTTATTTGGCCAGAAATTGGTCCCTGCGGAGGTCCTTTTGGCACTCTGAAGCCCGACCCCAGGCCGAGGCACCTCGCGGGGACGTGAAGTTGTGCGCCAGCTTTTCGGCAGCACTTGGCCGGTGTCCCGCCCCGCGCTCCTGCGTAAACAGGCGGTTCCCTAGGCAACGCCTGGAACTCACGTCAAAGGCTCCGCAGGGGCCGCGGCGACCACCACCCCTCCGGCCAAGCCCCACTCCCGGCAGC